ATTTTTTACACAATTAAATAAATTTATTTTTTTTAAATTAAATAAATAAAATATCAATAAAAATATATGTTATTTTTTTAATTAAAATTTTAAATAAATTTATTTTAAAAAATAATAATAATGAAATGATGAAATTAAATAAAACATCTATTAAAATTTAAATAATGAAATTAAATAAAATATAAACAAAATTTTAAAATAAAAATCAATAAAATATCTATAAAAAATTATTTAAAAAAAATTAAATATATAAAATATCAATAAAAAGTTAAATAAAATTATTTTATTTTTAAGTTGAGACATTTAAATTTTATTGAATTTTACTAAATATAATACATAATTAAATAGTAAATAGTCAAAATGACCATTTCACCACCTAATCCCAACAGTAAATAGTCCCATGAAGATTGTCACACACACCCCCCCAGATAGTATAGTCCCCCATATGGGGGATAAGGAGTCTGGCCGAACTCCATGTCCGACGAACTTAAAAAAAACAAACGCCGGATTGGATGCTTCTCCTGAATTATAATCCGCATATTAAATAATCCCCATCTTATCCCCCAATCAAACACATCCTAAGATTCTAGCAACTGTTGCTCGATCCCAAAAAATTATTTTTTAGAGTAATGTTTTTAATATTTAATTAATTTAATTTTTTAATTTGTTTATCAGGTCCTATTTCACTTTGCAAATGTTGTGCTGAAAAAATGTTTTAGAATTTATGATGACTAAATTTAAATACTATTATATATGTCACTAATATATTAGTATAAGATATAATTGATGAGGCCCTTTAAATTAATATATTAGTAATATATAAGATGATACCTAAAATTTGATATTTAAATTTGGTTATTATAATATTAGTATTTTTATAAAATTGATAAATTCACAACAAAAGAAATAATGATTTCTTTACATTTTTTTTAGTTTTTTTAATAATGTTGATTGATAACCTAATAAAGTAATACTAAGAAGATAAAAATCAAACAAAAACTAAACACAAAAAATATATGAATAGATAAAATTTTACAAAATATATTAATAATGGGGGAGCTTATTTTTTTAAAATTCTCTCCATCAATATGTTTTCTACAATTAATTCAGTATTTGATTTATATGTGCCAATATTTATTGAACAACCAGAGCACCCATCACAATAAAGAGGTAGTTGAACCACCTCCAATCAATAACGTTGCTGATTCAAATAAAATTATAATTATTTATAAATAAAAAATATTCATATTTATACAACGAAAAATATTCGACAAAAGTTTTAAAAAGATGTACAATCTAAAATTACAACAATTAAAACCACACTGTAAAGGGGTGTGCCGTGCATTCCCCATGAAACACATTTTCTTTTTTAAAAAAAAAATAGAAAAATGATGACAAAAAAGGGAAAACAATAAATAATTACAACTTTTTTGTTTTGAAAATGGTGGGACATAAAAGAAAAAAGGAAGACTAGAAAGCTCAAAAAATTAACAAAAACGAAAAAAAGAAGACAGCAGTGAAAATTATTGACACAATGCTCACATGCTCTCTGCTCCTTTACATTCATCATTCACAGGAATACCCAGATGCCAGTTGTTATCAATTTACAGAAATATTTTTATTATTATTAGGTAAAATACTAACAAAAAGAACAAAAAGGAAAAAAAAAAAAAATCACGATGTGTAAATAACTTATATTTCAATTAAGACATCACGTGACAATGCCTAGAAATTATTTTTACCCATAAAAGGGAAAGTCATATGAAAATAATGATTTTATATATTTTTTTACAAAACTAATTTTTGAAATTTTTTCAAAAACATATTGTGAAAACTCAACTAAATAGTGATTTTTTTATTATTTAAAAAAATTAAAAGAATATTTTCACATTTTCAAAAAAGTAAATTAAATTTTTTTTTTTTTTGGGTGAAAAATGTTTTTCTATGTTAGGTGGTGATGATGGTGGGATAAAGGTGGAGGTGGTTGTGTGGTGGAGGGGTGGTGGCAATGCTGATGGCAACGGTGGTGATGGTGGTGTGGTGGTGGAGGTAAGAAATAGCGGTGATTGTGTGGTGACATTGGTAAGATTTTAGTCTAAAAAATATTTTCCACCTTCCAAAAAATAAAAAATATTTTCTACTCAAATAAATTTATTTTTCATTGACTTTGATTATACCAAACACCATAAAATATAGACAAAAAATGTTTTCTGTCTGAAAAATGTAGCTTTAAAAAAAAATAGAGATGGAATAATGTGAAATTGGTTCAAAATTATATTTGTTGTTATAAAAATATTAAAGTTATCAAAAAAAAAAAAAAATTTACACGCTATTTTACTCTCCTATGTGATCTCCTCACACGGATTTGTTTTTATCAAAGGTCTAAAAGTTTCAACCACCTAAACACCATATTCAAACCTTTAGCCCATTTTAATATTGGTAATTATCGGATCTAAATGTCACCTTTAACATTGTAGGATGTATGAACAATCACATGGCTCATTCTTTATTTATTAATATGAGGCAAATAATTGTTAGTCCACTTTTGGGCGATATCTATGCACCCACAATAGGTTATTTTTGTGACTTCTCCCCCATTGAATTTAACTTTCACAAATTAAAATTTAAAAAAAAAATTTATTTTCATTTCATAAAAAAAAAAAAATTTAAAAAATTTAAAAAGTAAAAAAAGTATTCAAATTTGACCCAAGTTTTGACAAATCTGTCTACATTTTGACAAACTTGAGTAGAGACTCAACTCAACTCACCCAAGTTACTGTCGTATTGTTAGGTAAAATAATAATAAAAAAATAAGGAATTTCATTGTACAAACAACTTATATTTAAAGCAACCAAATAATTTTTATTTGTTTGTGAAAAAATATCGTATTACACCTTGTAATATTGTGAAGCCTTCTGTTAACACAACCAAAGAAATATGATAGAATTTCTCAAAATATGGAAGGTAAAATAATTTTTTAATAATTTTATTGTCATTTCTGTAAATATATATATATATATACATTCAGGGGGGAATTCGTAATTTCTCAAACCTCAGGGGGTATCTGTAATTTAGCCAAACCTCGAGGGGTGTATATGTAATTTGCCCTATATTTAAAGCAGCCAAATAATTTTTATTTGTTTGTGAAAAAATATCGTATTACACCTTGTAATATTGTGAAGCCTTCTGTTAACACAACCAAAGAAATATGATAGAATTTCTCAAAATATGGAAGGTAAAATAATTTTTTAATAATTTTATTGTCATTTCTGTAAATATATATATATATATATATATTCTTCATAGAGAAGTTGCTTTTATGATTAAACAGGCTTTTTACTTATAATTTTTTAAATTAAAACTTTTTATTTAGAGATTGACAAACATAACTTTATTATAAAGAGACAAATTGAGAACTGTGGTAATATTAGTTGCTGGTCTTGTGGATTAGATTTATTTATCATTTATTAAAAAGTGCTATTGTAACTTTTAGTGATAAAAATATTTTTTAAACAATTAACCTATTTACATTTCTCACAAACAAAAATAAAAAATGTCTCAATGATTTTATTTTGACAAATTTATTAATATCATTGCTAGTGACATTGTCAATCTATAAACATAAAATATATGTAAAATTTTTAAAAAAAATTTCATTACCAAAACGAGAGACAAATACGTAAAACAAATCCACTTCAAACTTGCGAAAAATTAAACTTAATTAATAAAACCTACTAATAATTATCCCTAAACTTTTATTATTTGGTTCAAAGACACCACCACTATATGACAATATCACATTGGTTAGCCCTATTATTGGAGATTGGACTCATCACTAAACTATTATTTGTTGCCAAGTGAAAAAAAATAAAATAAAATATTAACGTGAGTATCACGTGGCTTTTGTCCTGGACCGCTAACAACTTCTAGTAAAACTAAATATAATATGTAGGATTTTTTTTTTACTATTTTTTATCAGCATTATATGTAGGACTCATACATTAAATTCACAACAATCTAAAGGAAAAATGAAATGCAAATAGGATGCAAGATTTAATCATACAACCGACCCCAATCACGCTACAATACTTTGGATCCCATTCCATGAACACACAACAATGATTCAGGGGGTATCCAACGGTGATGTGATGGCTATCTCAACACAAACCAAGAAAGATCAACGGATGCAAATAATTAACAAGAAGCAAGAAAAAAAAAACCTCCAAAACAGGAGAAAAGCCATGGAAGCATTTGATGATGATTAGTAATCAGCGGTGGGCAATTGCTCGTGGGTATGGTTCATGAAGAACAACTCATAGATAATCGCAGCCAATGCACTACCAATAAGAGGCCCGGCCCAATAGATCCAGTGGTTATCCCAAGTCCAACTCACGACGGCCGGGCCGAACGAAACAGCCGGGTTCATGGATGCTCCGTCAAAGGCCCCACCCACCAAAATATTGGCCCCCACTATGAGACCGATCGCGAGTGGTGCTATAATTCCCAACTCGCCCTTCCTACCATCCAGTGCGGTAGCGTATACGGTATAGACCAGCCCAAAGGTCAATACGATCTCCATTACGAAACCGTTCCATACATTTACTCCTGATGATAAACCGAAAGCGGTTGTAGTCTACCACGGAGAAAAAAAAAAAGCATGATTAAAATTACATAATAATAAAATTTAGGGTAATGCTCCGGAGCTCTAATTAGAGCTGCAAAAGGACAGCTCTAATGAGCTGTCAACCAATAAAAAAAAAAAGAAAAAAAAAGAGTGAAGTAAAAGACAAAAAAGAGAGAAGAAAAAGACAAATTAATGCTCTATTAGAGCTCTTCTTTTAGAGGTCTAAATCATTTTTGTAAAATTTAAACTGTTCAGATCATCTAAATAGTTTATAAAATAGAATTTGAAAATGCATAATATTGTGGAAACAAAAAAAAATTCAAAATTTTGTCAAAAAATAGTGTGTGGATTATACACTTTGTTTGGTTCTGGTTTTCAAAAATAATTTTCAGAAAATTTTATTTTTTTATTTTTCGTATTTTAATATTTTCAATGATTTTTTTAATATCTTAAGTAATTTTTTAATTTTTAAACACACTTAAAATAAATACACTTAAAAAGTATAATATTTGTGAATTTTTTTTTTTAAAAATACACTAACTACTTTTTTAAAAAAATACACTAACTATCAATATATATATATATATATAAAGAAAGAAAATTTAGTATATTTTTTGTATTTTTGTGTATTTATTAAATTTTAAAATATTTTTTCACAGATATTTACTATTTAAATACATCTAAAGTAAGGTGCATTTAAAAAAGTAAAAAAAAATTACTTAAAATTTTAAAAATATTTACAAAAAATAAAAAAATACGAAAAATAAAAAATTCAATGTTCAAAAAATTGACACCAAACCTACTAATTTATTTTCAACGTGGCTCACATCACACTGAATTTATAACATGTAATCTCATTTTATCTTTTATTTTTTTAATTTTTTTTAGACACAAGACAATGAAATTCACGTTAAGAAGACAAAATACAATAAATAAAATTTGACATTATATGCCTTCTTTCTTAAAAAAATATATTTATCCACTATCGCCAAAGAAAGATCCAAAGGAAATAAATTGTGAGCAAAAATACGTTTTTTAATTTAATTTTTTTCCCAACTCAACAAAAATCCAAAAACGCAAGCGTACATAACTGTCACATTAACGGTAATAACTAACTTTTGTAAGTAATGATAAACTCACCATGCCATTGGTGACAAACTTGAGGAGTAAGCACGCGACGACGGAGCCAAGCAACTGGGCAATCCAGTAGAGTAGGCCACGTAGGATGGTGATGTGGCCGCCGAGGCACGCGCCGAACGTGACAGCGGGATTGACGTGGCCGCCGGAGATGTTAGCGCTGATGGCGACGGCGACAAAAAGTCCGAATGCGTGGGCAATAGCGGCGGCGATGAGGCCGGAGGGGGTAGTGAAGCTGCTATGAGTGATCTTATTGAAGGCCATCCCGGATCCCTGGCCCGCGAAGACGAAAATTAGGGTTGAGATGAACTCCGCCAGCGCCGCCTTGAGAGCGGCGGGGTGGGTCGCCTCTTCCCGGTTTCCGACCGCGATCCGGCGAGTAATCCGATCCACGTAGATCATCGGCATGGTTTGTTTGATCAAAATCAAACGGTGGAGAATGCAAGATGGATATTGAGACTCTTGAGGCTCTCTATTAGAGTACACTGGTTTCCACAGCTCCCGCAGTGCACCTACTTATATGAAGTTTGAAGACTCTGTTGACTTGCAATAGCCGGTTAACCGGTTGAAAAAAATTATTTATTATCAATCGTGCCATTTTTGTTTTTAAATTTTATTGGAGATCCAATTTGAATGGATCATGTCATATTCGTTTTAATAATTTAAACGGTTGGATATTAATTACGCACTGATTAACAGATAATTAATTTATATTTGCATAAAAAAATAAATAATTTATTTTTAAAATTATATTTACTGTTTATTTAGATTTTTTTTTTAAAAGAGAAATGCGTGGATCAAGCAGTTAATGTCGGATCAAATTAATTTTGAGTATCTATAATTTTTTCCGTGAACTCTACAAATTTACAGTTTGAAACATCAGAACTAGTTTAATGTGAACTTACAGTCTTGTAAACTGGACTCTCCAGCCCCATACTGAAGGCGAGTTTGATTAATTATTCAATATGTTATCAGCATGTCCTTTTTTTTTTTTTTGGTAATATTAAAACTTAAAAAAGATTTGACAGTTGTGAAATTTGAAATATTTTATTTTATTTTAGTATTTTCTGAGCCCATTAATCAGCTGTTCATACAGCAAAGCGTTTGACAATTGCCGCGGGCCTGTTTGCTAACGTTTATGTTTTCAGTTTATATTTACAAAAATTTTATAAATTAATTTTTGTTTATTTTTTGTTTATTTTTAAAAAAACATAAACTACAAACGCGTTTGGTTTAGACAAAATATTTAAAAAATTTTAAAAATATAAAAAAGAGTGAGAAATGACAAGTGGTGGCCGGTGGTGGGTGGAGACGAGTGATGGCGGCGGAAGACGGCAGTGGAAAATGATGGCGGGTGGTGGGGGCGGAAGACGGGGGGGGAAAATGGTAGCGAGTAGGTGGTGGTAGGTGGTGGGTGACGGTGGCGGGTGGTGGGTGGTGGATGGCAGGTGGTGGCGGGTGGGGGGTGATGAGTAGGTGGCGAGTGGTGGCGGCGGGCGGGGGATGGTAGTGGCGGGGGGGAAGGAGTGGGGGGGGGGGGGGGGGGGGGGGGGGGGGGAGGGGGGGGGGGGGGGGGGTGGGTGCGTGGCAGGTGACTGGTGGCTGGTGATGGCGGGTGGGGGTGATGAGTGGTGGTGGCGGGTAGGTGGCGGGCGACGGATGGTAGTGGCGTGTGGCGGGTGGTGGTGGTGCGGGTGAGTGGCAGGTGGGTGGTGGTGGTGTGGTGGGTGGCGGCGGTGGCGGCAGTGGGTGGTGGCGGATGGTGGTGTGTGGTGGGTGGCAGGTGGTAGTGGCGGAAGACGGTGGTAGAAAATGGTGGCAGGTGGTGGCCAGTGTTGGGCGATAAAAAAAATAAACTCAAAACTCAAACGTAAACTCAATTTTTAAAATTTATATTTTTTGACCAAATTTATAAACTGAGATTATTGATTAATAAATCAAAAATTTATCAAATAATTTTTTATTTAAATTTTTAAAAATTTTATAAATATAAACTATAAACTGAAAATATAACTCTTACCAAAGTGGACCCACGTGATTCATGTGGGTAAGGAACGCGTTGAGTGGGACTAGTCATTCAGATCGGATAGCTTTTTGTATTTTTGTATTTATTTGAAGTACTATATGAAAGTAATGACCACAAAACAAATGTACTTGTGGTTATTAAATGAGTTAAGAGGAAGCAATACTATGTGCACATCTAACAATGTTGCCGTGGTCACGATGCTTAGTTATGATGTCACCTGGAGTTTCATTGGTCCCTCTGGCCAATCAACAATTTGCAACCCATATTAGGTGGTCTCTATTGATCAATTTGTTACCATAGTCATGCATCGGTGTGATGCAATTAAGATTAAAAAAGTAAAAAAAAAAGAAGGAAAATGAAGGGGAAAACCGTTAATTTATTTATTAAAAAATGTTTTTTTAGTTATTATAAGAAATAAACATTGCTCTATGAGCACCTAACCAGTTATTTCATGTTCACAGGAATTTTGTAATTTTTTTTAAAGTCACGATATTTATAATTTATTGTGAACTTCAAATAATTTTTTTTTTTTTAGCCCCTCACAAGAAAGTTGAGTAGCTAACTAGATTGTGAATATCATTTCATTATTATTTTTTTATACAATAGTACTTTTGTTGAAGATTAGGAATGTTACGTATCAAAAAAGAATATTTTGAAAAATATTCAAAATTTAAATATATTGTATAAATTTAAATTTCGGTATGATGTGTGCCACACTTAGTTACCATAAATTTCAAAATCTATACACATTTTTCTGTTATTATGAATTTTGTCTGGTATTTGTTCACACTTCATAATAATAATAATAATAGGTATTACAAATTTGCATAAAATACCACTTTGGACATTTGGTCTTTGAGATCATTCTAGTATTGATAATTAAATATTTGATGTCACAATCTTCAAATGTGTGACTGAGGAGAACTTGAGTTTGTGACAAGAAAGCAAACCATTGAAATACATATTAACAAGCATGAAGTTTGATCTTATCTTTTAACACATAGTCCTCAAATTGTACATGAAACACAATAATAATAAAAACTTGTTCTTCAATCCATTGGATGTAGATGGTTTTTAATTCCATCCAAATTTAATTCAGTCACTTTCTCATTGGACCCATGTGTGGAAACAAAAACATAAATGGGTATGTTCAATTTGTGGCCCATGCCTCTAGAATTAGTTTATGATAATCAAATTTGAATCAACAATGCTACGTCAGCCCTTTGCTTTTACCATTGAATATTAATGTTTTGCAATCACTGATATAATAAATCTCACATAAACACCTTAATATTCAATGGTTGAGTTTATGCTAAATTAGATGATAAAAGGTTTTCATTTGAATATCTAATTACATTTCATTTGATGTGGTATCAATGCTTTGATTTTATTAACACCCATATTTCATAATTTAATATCCAAATTTATTCATCCTAGCAGTACTTGAGGAGAAGAAATTATGAAACCATTTGATAAGGGCAATGACAATAAGATTTCTTTGATTTGCAAAACTTAACACTATCATATAAGAAGTTAAACTAAATTAGGGTTTTTCTACTTCTACTTCTACTTCTTCTTCTTTTTTTTTATTTTTATTTTTATTTTTATTTTTATTTTAATTTTATCCATCTATGTGTGAACTAGTGGACTTGAACCATGCTCATTCACAATCCTAGTTACAAGCATCCCTTATCTGTCATCAATTGAACCCATGTGACTCATTATCCCTTATTTTACTCCTTTCTCTCTATATTTTTTTATTAAAATTCTAATTATATATAAAACTTATACAAAGAATATTACAAAAATAATGCTAGAGTATTATTTTTTGAATATAAGCCATCTTTATAAATATTTTATTCTAAAATAAAAAGTATATGTTAAACATATAAAAAAATTTTATAAATTTTTTTATAAGTTTGGTTACAAAAATAGTTAAAGATCACACTTTGACAAAAAAAAAAGATCTCACTTTTATTGGAAGTGTGATAAAAAAAATTAGATTGATATTTTAATCACACTTAATTTGATTGAGTGTGATAATATTTATTTTTTATGTCACTTTTCAATTAAGTGTGATTATATATATATATTTTTAATCACACCTTCTAATTAAAGTGTGATTATATATACACTACTACTTTTTAATCACACTTTTTAAATAAGTGTGATTATATATATATTTTTTAATCACACATTTTAATTAAAGTGTGATTATATATACATTACTACTTTTTAATCACACTCCCTAAATAGGTGTGATTGTATAAAATATTTCAATTTGATTTTTATATAAAATATACAATTCCCAAATCCGCGCCTCTATTCTACCCATGAATGATAGAGATGACTCACTACTAGAAAATGAGGCTTTAGACACGGAACTTTTTCACCCATTTTTTCATCTTTCTATCTCTCTGTCTCTGTCTCTCTTCTCTCTCTCTCTCTCTCACTCTCACTCTCACTCATCACTCTTCTCTGTCTGTTTGTCTGTCTGTCTCTCTTTCTTTCTCTCTGTCTATCTCTCTCATCTCTCTCTGTCTCTCTTCTCTAAATCTCTTCTCGTTATCTCTCTCGCTCATCTCTCTCTGTCTCTCTCTCGTTTTTCTCTTTTCGCTCTTTTTTTCTCTCCTTCTCTCTTTGTCTATATCTTTTCACCTATTTTTTCATCTTCCTCTCTCTCTTCTCTTTCTTTCTCTCACTCATCACTCTTTTCTTTCTGTCTATCTGTCTCTCTCTCTCTCTGTGTCTCTCACTCATCTATCTCTTCTCTCATCTCTTTTCTCTCTCTGTCTCTTTCGTTCATCTCTCTTCTCTCTATCTCTCTCATATTTCTCTGTCTCTATTGCTCATCTCTCGTCTCTCTCTCTCTCTCTCTCGTTCATCTCTCTTCTCTCTCTATCTTTTTTCTGTCTTTCACTCTCTATCTTTTTGTCCCTCTCTCTCTTCTCTTTCTCTCTCTCTTTCTCTCCCACTATGTTCGCGTTGCTCACTCTCTCCTTTCTGTCTTCTCTATTAACTGAGCTCCCTCTCGATTTATCTATCCACTATAAGAAAATGCACTTTTAGCGACCACTTTGTCTCTCTCTTGCTCATCACTCTGTCTTTGTCTCTCTCTCTCTCTCTCTCTTTCTCTCCTCTATCTGTCTCTCACTCATTTTTCTCTCTCTCACCACCCATCTCCTTTACCACCTTCACCACTACTGCAAACGCCATTCGACTACCACCATTACTACCACTGTCGCCACTTCACCTCTACGACTACCATTGCTACTACCATTGCCACCACTACCACTACTGCCACTATTACTACCAAACGCCATTCTCTCTCTGTCTCTTTCGTTCGTCTCTCTTCTCTCTATCTCTCTCATATTTCTCTGTCTCTCTTGCTCATCTCTCTTCTCTCTCTCTCTCTCGTTCATCTTTCTTCTCTTTATGTCTCTCTCGCTCATCTCTCTTCTCTCTATCTCTCTCTCGTTCATCTCTCTTCTCTCTCTATCTTTTTTCTGTCTCTCACTCTGTATCTTTTTGTCCCTCTCTCTCTTCTCTTTCTCTCTCTTTCTCTCCCACTATGTTCGCGTTGCTCACTCTCTCCCTTCTGTCTTCTCTATTTACTGAGCTCCCTCTCGATTTATCTATCCACTACAAGAAAATGCACTTTTAGCGACCATTTTGTCTCTCTCTCGCTCATCACTCTCTCTCTATCTCTCTCTCTCTCTCTCTCTCTCTTCTCCTCTATCTGTCTCTCACTCATCTCTCTCTCTCTCACCACCCATCTCCTCTACCACCTTCACCACTACTACAAACGTCATTCCACCACCACCACTACTTCCACTGTCGCCACTTCACCTCTACGACTACCATTAATTAGTCATATCAAGCAACTCTACTACCACCACTATCACTACTGCAACTACTACTACTATTACCTCTCATCCACCGCAGGCAGATTCATGAAAATATAAGGCAGATTCATGTATAAGGCAGATTCAAGAAAGAAAAATGAGGGGGAAAAAATTTATATATGTATATTTTATATATTTATGTATACAGACAGATTCATCACCTCTCTCTCTTTACTTTATTTATTTTTTCGTGTTAATTATGTTATGTCAGAAATCAATCCTCTGTAGTTAGATTTTAGTTTTATAATCTCAATATATATATATATATATAACCAATTTGTTATTAGGTTTTTGGCATTTGGGGCAAAGAAGATTAGCTAAATCCAACAATTGTTCACTGAAGATTGGTATTTGATTAGAAGCATAGTTATGAGTTCTCTAATTCTTGTTCTTCCTAATCATGAAAATCCTAAATGGAGATATAGCATTTCTGTTTCCAGAGTTTTAATATTTTTATTTGCTTACTCTGCCATAGTTCTATCATCATAACCTATATTCCATATATGTGTGTTTGTGCTCTGACAAAAAAAATATTTTTTATTCCCGCCTGTTTTTGTTTTCCATTCCCGCTCTATTCTCTCTCTTTATCTCTTCTATCCGTCTCTCACTCATCTCTCTCTTTCTCTTTACCTCTTAGGTTGTGCCAGACATTGTTTTTAATTATTTTGGTTGTGGTTGGTGTTCAATGATTGTATGATTTACATGGGACTCTTTTGGACAGTGCTAATTTTTATTTTTGCTCATTCATAACGGTCCTTAAACTCGTCACAAAAACTTAATTGATTCAAAAAAATATAAAAAATACAAAATTTAATTTCTAAAAAATTAAATTCAACAAATTAAAATCAAACATTTTTTGAAAATATATATCCTTTATAATTAATCCTTTATATGAAAATATATATCCTTAATTAATCCTTTATATGAAAATACATATCCTTTATAATTGATTAGAATGGTCCACAGATCTTCCCAAATAAATGGCTGAGATCATTTTACACATTGGAGAGTTTCCACCCATCACACGCGCAACAGTTTCTTCTTTTTTTCTTCTCTCTTTTGTGATTCACGCTCTCTCTCTCTCTCTGAACGATAAACACCTCATTGGCACAACCTTTGTGTCTCCTCCTCTTCCCCGAATTCGGATCTTCTTCCCCAATAGACACCCACCCTGTTCACTATAGACGGTGCTCTTCATTTCCCTTACAACCTTTCGAAACTCATTAGCTTGGGAAAGACCTGCAATTTTGGTAAGGTTCTAAACCTGGAGTTTGTTTCTTTTCTTTTCTGAAACCCTTCCCTTGTTAAATTAGGGCATTTGATCAAACTCCTCCACATCTCCAACATCAGCCGATCGAACTCCTTCCGTCCTTGTTTTCGTTGATCTGCACCAAAAAGGTAAGAGTTCATGCCTTTTTGTTTGTGATATATATATATATATATATGTATACACACATCGAGTTAGGGTTCCTTCCGTCCTTGTTCTTGTTAAATTTTTGCTCAATTTCTGCTCAATTCTTGTTCACTTGTTTGCTGTAGTGTTAAAATCAAAATCACTTTTGGTTCAGTTTTTTGGTTTTTTTTTTATATTTAATTATATATATACATACATATATATATATATATATATATCACAAACAAAAAGGCATGAACTCTTACCTTTTTGGTGCAGATCAACGAAAACAAGGACGGAAGGAGTTCGATCGGCTGATGTTGGAGATGTGGAGGAGTTTGATCAAATGCCCTAATTTAACAAGGGAAGGGTTTCAGAAAAGAAAAGAAACAAACTCCAGGTTTAGAACCTTACCAAAATTGCAGGTCTTTCCCAAGCCAATGAGTTTCGAAAGGTTGTAAGGGAAATGAAGAGCACCGTCTATAGTGAACAGGGTGGGTGTCTATTGGGGAAGAAGATCCGAATTCGGGGAAGAGGAGGAGACACAAAGGTTGTGCCAATGAGGTGTTTATCGTTCAGAGAGAGAGAGAGAGAGAGAGAGAGAGAGAGAGAGAGCGAGAGCGTGAATCACAAAAGAGAGAAGAAGAAAAGAAGAAACTGTTGCGCGTGTGATGGGTGGGAACTCTCCAATGTGTAAAATGATCTCAGCCATTTATTTGGGAAGATCTGTGGACCATTCTAATCAATTATAAAGGATATATATTTTCAAAAAATGTTTGGTTTTAATTTGTTAAATTTAATTTTTTAGAAATTGAATTTTTTATTTTTCGTATTTGTTTTGAATCAATTAAGTTTTTGTGACGAGTGTAAGGACCGTCATGAATGAGCAAAAATAAAATCTTTTGCGACAGACTAACAAAGGGTGTCTGTAGACACCCCATTTTTGACCGTCCTCAAGACTTGGACGTCACCGTTTGAACACTCGGTGATCATCCATGTTTGTGTTCGTTTGGAGTTCCCGGAGGTCTCGGCTCCGCGCCTTGCCTCAGGATCTCCGAACTCGACCGTTTAGTATCTATGTACACACATACAGTAATGTGAACTGCCAGAAAACCAGCCCCCCACAACGAATCACCCCCCGAAGGACTAAGAAGCCCGCCGAACGCGCGAAAACATTTAGGGAGGCCGAGCAATGGCATGGCATGCTGCTGGCAAATAACAAGCGCAACAGGCAACTTTCGAGGGACATACTTTTCGCAACAAGCTTCCACTAGAAGAGTCGGGTATTGTTATTTATTGTCACTACCTCCCCGTGTCAGGATTGGGTAATTTGCGCGCCTGCTGCCTTCCTTGGATGTGGTAGCCGTTTCTCAGGCTCCCTCTCCGGAATCGAACCCTAATTCTCCGTCACCCGTCACCACCATAGTAGGCCACTATCCTGCCACTGCCTTGCCCTGGGCAAGGGAGGTACGAATGCCCCCGACTGTCCCTGTTAATCATTACTCCGATCCCGAAGGCCAACGTAATAGGATCGAAATCCTATGATGTTATCCCATGCTAATGTATCCAGAGCGTAGGCTTGCTTTGAGCACTCTAATCGGTCTCTCGCCCGTATTTAGCCTTGGACGGAATTTACTAAAAAATTTAAAAAAATTTCCCAAAAAAACCCCCCCCCCCCCCAAAAAAAAAAAAGTCCCATTTTTTTAAAAAAAAAAAAAACTAAGAAAGTTTGGAATTTTTGTTTTTGTTTTTTTATATTTTTGAAAATTTGATCTGATGAAGCGTTTTTGACTTGTGATTGGCAGAGAAAAGGTATCCATACCACATAATAAACCCTATATATTCATGAGAGGGAATGGAAAAGGTAAGACGGCCATTGATTGGTCCCAGAGCTCTGAGGACAACATTGAGTCTGCCACATTCAAAGTTGAAGCTCCACACTTTGTAGCCTTTGGTATTAGCTTCAAGGTCCATTACCTCTGTCTCTGATCCGCTCTACACTATGTTTCACAAGAAAATTTTATCGAGTTTTCTGTAAAAAAAACATGTTTTGAAAATATTTTTATTTTGCAAAAGGTGTCTTCTTGCATTTGGTTGTGACCTTGAAATGATCTGCTAGTGGCTTGTGATAGCAGTGGTGTTGGTGTAGTGGTGGTTGTTGTGGTTGCGTGACGGTGGCGGTGGCATTTGTGGTGATAGTAGGGTGATAGTGGTTGTGGGGTGTTGGTGGTGACGGTAGGTAATGGTTGTGTAGTGGCAGTGGTGATGGTGGCGAGGTGATAGTGGTGGTGGTAGGTTTGTGGGGGTTGTGACCATGTTGGTTGTGGCGAAGATGGTGATAGTTGTAGAGGGATGGCGGTGGTGGCTTTGGCAGTAGGACTACTGGTGGTGGTAGTTGGGGGTGGCATAGTTGATAAAACTCTAATTCAGATAACATTTTTCACTTTTAAAAAAGCAAAAATTAGTTTTTTTGTTCAAATCAACTTATTTTTTGTTGACCAAAGAAAATGTGATTTTGTTTTATATCTTACCAAATATAAAAAATACAGATAACGTTTAAACAAATTTTTTTTTTAGCCAAAACAAACAGGTGGTTATTCAGTACTCCTGGGAGTATGGACAAGTGATGTTCCGCAAGGTTTTGATCGGTGGAGAGACACAAAGGCCCACGATTTATGTTGGGGATGAAGGAACAAGATGGGGCTAACTAATTGGTGATTGGTTTGGAGTATGGACATGTGGTGCTCCGGGAGTATTGAATAATTTCCCAAAACAAACAGAGCATAAGTACTATTTGAAATAAATGTTAAATTTAATGAAAATTATGTATGTGGTTTTACAGAATGAGGCTCCAACTGGGATTGCATACACTTCACAAAACCAGTCAGTGGCCGCCTATGTTGGAGCAGACATGGTTGCATTCTACCATTGTGCATTCTATAGTTCTCATAACACTCTCTTTGATCTCAAAGGCAGACATTACTATGATAGCTGCTATATTCAGGGTTCTATTGACTTCATCTTTGGTCTTGCCCAATCCATCTTTCATGTGAGTTCTCTTTGCTTTCACATCAAATTTCATTTTCTATTTGAGGTCTAAGAAAAGGGACAAAAAATGCAACATTGTTTGGTCACCATTCTTGTGTTGTGTTACATTTTTTTATGGTTTTGCAGAGCTGTGAGATATTTGTGATTGCCGACAGAAGGATGGAGATCCATGGCTCCATAACAGCCCATAAAAGAGAGAGTGCAAAAGAGAACACTGGATTTGTGTTTATCAAAGGCCAAGTCTTTGGCATTGGAGATGTGTACTTGGGTAGAGCCAAAGGTGCCTATTCCAGGGTCATTTTTGCAAACACCTACATTTCCAAGACTGTTGTTCCTCAAGGATGGACTAATTGGAGCTATGCTGGTAGCACAGAGTAAGAAAACTTACTATAGTCTCATTTTCTTTCTCTTCTTTTGAGTTTTCCACAATGATTGCAATATTACACCTTGTTAAATTAGAGAGAAGAGTAAGGGCTTGGCCTGATGGAGGAAGTGCTCTCTTATTAGGCGTGATGCCTGATTTGAGTTTTATCATTGCAAGTGCAATTTCCATTTTTCTATTTCTCTTTGACTGGTAATCTAACTGGGTGTTTTTGGAGATCGGTGGGTTCACCCCAATCCCACTTCGGTGAATTGAGTAATTCATTTTGTAAGATTTATTGAGTAGATCATTTATGAAAAAAATTAAATTGATTAGACATTAGTGGTCATATAATCACATCACATTTGACTTACACAATGGATGACAAGTATGATTATAAGAGTACACCGTCCCTTTTTTTCAACATTAATGTAAACAGATCAACTTATTTTCATTGCATAAATAATTTGCTTAAAAGGTCTTGCAAAATAAATAAGTGGGCTCAGATTGAACTAACAGAAGCCCAACAATTGCATAAATAATTACAAAATGAATAATTCTAATAGTTGAAATACTGAGTCCAACATTACCTCTCCAGTTAGTTTATCTAAAATCATAAATTTACAAAAGAGACTTACCAATGGAACATTCACTAGTCACTCATGATATCACTCGTTTCACTGGTATAATAATAAGCTTTAAATTTTCTAAGAATTTCTAATGACAGAAATGTTGTAATTGGAAGCAGAAATCTACACCATGCGGAGTATAACTGCCATGGACCGGGATCCAATTCAACAAACAGAGCTCCATGGTCCAAACAACTCAGTGACAAAGAAGCTGCTCCTTTCCTATCCATAGATTTCATCAATGGTAAGGATTGGCTCCCTGCATGGCTTTGAATTCTCGCATTAGCGAAAAAATTATTAGGATTGACTTCATGATGTTTCAAATAAAATCACACAACATATTAGGCGAGTCATTGACTGTCTCTCAATTTCCTAGTAAAATGGCTTAGTTTTGTTATTCTCTGTGAAGTTTTTCTTTTATGTCATTAGTTGAGAATACTGCATAGACAATACCACATGATATTGCAGGACTGCTGAATAATTAATCTTTTGTTCTACCAGTCATTTTTTCTTCCTAGTATGTGTGAAAATGTGCATGTATTTGCAGTGTGCAAACATGTGACCAGTTAAAGATGTAGCTAATACATTGTTTATGTACATGTGAAGTAAAACTGGTGTGTAAATTTTGTAGGTGTACTTGTATGTATGTTGAATGTATGTAATCTCTGCAATCAAGGCAGGGCTCATTAGTTTGTACATGTATTTATATATTTTTTGGTGTTTTATAAGAAACTTATCCACCAAAATACTCTCATAAAAATGAAGTTAATCAAATAACCTCCTTGTACCTTATTACTTTGCAAGTGTAATATGATACACTCCTTTGTAAATGATACAAAGTATCGAGTGTGGAATTCATATTGTGTCTGTTATTGAATCTGTTTTGGCATCTAATTGTGTCTGTTATTAATTGTTTTGTTTGGAATTTAGATTGACCAACTAGGTGGAATTCAGAAAAAATAGGTGGAATAATTTTGGTATGAATCTGTCTGTTAATTTTGGTATGAATTTAATAATAGGTGGAATAATCTGTATGAATCTGTCTGTTATTAAATGTTTAAGAAAGTTCTCGCCAATAGTGATGAAAATAACAGAGAAAAGTAGTATCCAGAACAGAATTGATAAATGCTGACTGACTAAAACGATTGAGTAAGCACTCCATAACTTGAAGAAAAACCTGCAACATGATTAACTATAGTTAGAAAACTATTTTGTTGAGTGCTTTCATATTTAAAACATTTAGAGAAACTTAATGTTTTTAATCACACTTAAAAGGTGTGATCTAAATGTTTTTAATCACACTTAAAAGGTGTGATCTAAATGTTTTTAATCACACTTAAAAGGTGTGATCTAAATGTTTTTAATCACACTTAAAAGGTGTGATCTAAATGTTTTTAATCACACTTTAAAAGGTGTGATCTAAAGTTTTTAACCACACTTAAAAGGTGTGATCTAAATGTTTTTAACCACACTTAAAAGGTGTGATCTAAATGTTTTTAATCACACTTAAAAGATGTGATGAAAGCATTTTTTAATGACACTTAAAAAGTGTGATTAAAAATGACCATTTTTAATCACACTCTTAAAGACCACACTTTAATAAAACTTAAAAGGTGTGATTAAAAAACATACATCACACCAAAAAAGTGTGATCTTTATCTATATTTGTAGTAGTGAAATGCCCTAAGAGCATTGATTAACAATATTTAAATTGATTGTACATTGCATATTGCATGCACTCTCATACATTATATATAAATATTTTAAATTTCTTATTAAATACTTTAAGAACACTTATTAATTAAAACTTATTTTTTATTTATATATTATTAATTTTTTTCACTCAAATTATACGTGGCTGTGGTGGGATCGGAGCAGAGGAGCATCACCATTAATAAAATATGGCTCCCCCAGCGACTCTGCAAACCTAACAGGCCATGTTTTTTTTGAAGAATTTTTCAAAGATAAATGTGTTCACACAAAACTCTACAAACTTACAAACTTTCAATACTATGGACCCACCAACTGCCCAGCAATTCAAAACTCATAAATTCAAGACTTGCTCGAAGAATAAAAAATAAAAAAAAACCTTTTAATTAGCTAGTGTATAAACTTTTTTATGGACATCAGTCCAAAAGGGGTCCTTTTAGCCTGTTAAATTCAAAACGTAACCTAAAAAAGACAAAATGCCGGGTGGGGGAAATGAACTAAGTAATTGAGAGAGAGAAAAACTCAGCGACAACCATGGGATAATGATGAAGGAGCACTACAACCACTTGGGTCTTAAATGATGAATTTTTTTTTTTTTAAAGAGTTAATTTCGTCATTATAAATATTTGTGAGGAAATATTTTCGTCACCGACTTCGTTATTAAATGTTTGTCACTAAAAAGTATCGTGACGAAAAATAATTTCGTCACCAATGAAATTATTTCAGTGAGAAACTTTTTGTCACCAATAAAATAACATTTTGTTACAAAAAATTCTCATTTTCGTCACAAAATAGTTATTTAGTACCACATTTGTAACTTTAGTTGACGAATAAATTTGTCACACATGTTGATCATTAATGAGGAAATAATTTCGTCACAGTTAAAGTTGACGAAATTTTTCGCCTACAAACGTCATACATAGGTGATGAAATATATTTCGTGGCAAAAATATATATACGTGACGAAATGTTTAGTCACCAAACAACAAAATTAATGAAAACTTTCATATATAAGCTGCAATAAATTTTATCACAAAAAATATTTATTAGCGACGAATAATCACTTTGTCATAATAACAAGTGCAAATGACAAAAAAAATTGTCACTAAACTTGTCCCATATTTTATATTTCAATTTAAATTATTATTTCGCAAATATTCTTGCTTATATCCCAATTGCCTTTTAAATGTACTAAGAAATCCACCAGCTATTATGCACAGTCCACACAAAATATTCACTATATAATTTATATTATAAATCAAAATATATCCATCAAACAAATTTAATAATAATATATTAATTATAACAAAAAAAAAACTATCATAGCAAATTCCAAAATGAATTAACGTGGAGTCCACACAAAAAATCAACTCTAGATCTTGATTTACAACTAGAACTAAGTATCAGTTTAGGAAAAAAAAAATTCAACACTTGATTTTGATTTGCAAGTATGCTTCCAAACGTCATCAAAAACTAATCTGCAAAGACAATAAACAAAGAAAACATTAATATATTAGCAATTACATCTAAACTCATATTTAAATAATTTATTTTATAAACCAATTTAATAGAAATGCATATAACAATCCAAAACTTCAAAGAGTTAAAGTGATCTTTGATGATAAGCAACATGGATAAGAAATTTGATAACAAAAGATTGTAAGAATAAAAACAAAAACTTCATGTTTCTGAATCCTATTTGTTAAAGTGAGACCCATGAATATGTTTGTTTATATTTTAAAGGTTTTCATTTGAATATCTAATTACATTTCATTTGATGTGTTATCAATGCTTTGATTTTATTAACACCCGTATTTCATAATTTAATATCCAAATTTATTCATCCTAGCAGTACTTGAGGAGAAGAAATTATGAAACTATTTGATATGGGCCATGACAATAAAATTTCTTTGATTTGCAAAACTTAACACCATCATATAAGAAGTTAAACTAAATTAGGGTTTTTCTACTTCTACTTCTTCTTCTTTTTTTATTTTTATTTTTATTTTTATTTTATCCATCTATGTGTGAACTAGTGGGCTTGAACCATGCTCATTCACAATCCTAGTTACAAGCATCCCTTATCTGTCATCAATTGAACCCATGTGACTCATTATCCCTTATTTTACTCCTTTCTCTCTATATGTGACTCATTATCCCTTATTTTACTCCTTTCTCTCTATATTTTTTTATTAAAATTCTAATTATATATAAAACTTATACAAAGAATATTACAAAAATAATGCTGGAGTATTATTTTTTGAATATAAGTCATTTTTATAAATGTTTTATTCTAAAATAAAAAGTATATGTTAAACGTATAAAAAATTTATATAAATTTTTTTATAAGTTTGGTTAACAAATGCCCTAAGAGCATTGATTAACAATATTTAAATTGATTGTACATTGCATATTGCATGCACTCTCATACATTATATATAAATATTTTAAATTTCTTATCAAATACTTTAAGAACACTTATTAATTAAAACTTATCATTTATTTATATATTATTAATTTTTTTCACTCAAATTATACGCGGCTGTGGTGGGATCGGAGCAGAGGAGCATCACCATTAATAAAATATGGCTCCCCCAGCGACTCTGCAAACCTAACAGGCCATGTTTTTTTCGAAGAATTTTTCAAGATAAATGTGTTCACACAAAACTCTACAAACTTACAAACTTTCAATACTATGGACCCACCAACTGCCCAGCAATTCAAAACTCATAAATTCAAGACTTGCTTGAAGAATAAAAAATAAAAAAACCTTTTAATTAGCTAGTGTGTAAACTTTGTTATGGACATCAGTCCAAAAGAGGTCCTTTTAGCCTGTTAAATTCAAAACGTAACCTAAAAAAAGACAAAATGCCGGGTGGGGGAAATGAACTAAGTAATTGAGAGAGAGAAAAACTCAGCGACAACCATGGGATAATGATGAAGGAGCGCTGCAACAACTTGGGTCTTAAATGATGAATTTTTTTTTTGTTTCTAAAGAGTTAATTTTGTCACTATAAATATTTATGAGGAAATATTTTCGTCACTGACTTCGTCATTGGATGTTTGTCACTAAAAAATATCGTGACGAAAAATAATTTCGTCACCAATGAAATTATTTCAGTGAGAAACTTTTTGTCACCAATAAAATAACATTTTGTCACCAAAAATTCACATTTTCGTCACGAAATAGTTAATTAGTACCACATTTATAACTTTAGTTGACGAATAAATTTGTCACACATGTTGGTCATTGATGAGGAAATAATTTCGTCACAGTAAAACGTAAAGTTGACGAAATTTTTCGTCTCCAAATGTCATACATAGGTGACGAAATATATTTCGTGGCAAAAATATATATACGTAACGAAATGTTTAGTCACCAAACAATAAAATCAATGAAAACTTTCATATATAACTTGCAATAAATTTTATCACAAAAAATATTTATTAGCGACGAATAATTACTTTGTCATAATAACAAGTACAAATGACGAAAAAATTTGTCACTAAACTTGTCCCATATTTTATATTTCAATTTAAATTATTATTTCGCAAATATTCTTGCTTATATCCCAATTGCCTTTTAAATGTCCACCAGCTATTATGCACAGTCTGCACAAAAAATTCACTAAACAATTTATATTATAAATCAAAATATATCCATCAAACAAATTTAATAATAATCTATTAAGTATAAAAAAAAAAAAAACTATCATAGCAAATCCCAAAAATGAACTATAACGTGGAGTCCACACAAAAAATTAACTCTAGATCTTGATTTACAACTAGAACTAAGTATCAGTTCAGGAAAAAAAAAATTCAACACTTGATCTTGATTTGCAAGTATGCTTCCAAACGTTACCAAAAACTAATCTGCAAAGAAAATAAACAAGGAAAACATTAATATATTAGCAATTATATCTAAACTCATATTTAAATAATTTATTTTATAAACCAATTTAGTAGAAATGCATACAACAATCCAAACCTTCAAAGAGTTGAAGTGATCTTTGATGATAAGCAACATGGATAAGAAATTTGATAACAAAAGATTGTAAGAATAAAAGCAAACTTCATGTTAAGAACAACGGACAAGAAAGCAATTACTAACAATTAACAATAGAGGACTTAAATTAGTACTGAAAAGAATCACTGCAAATAAATTAATCCTTCAGGGCAATAGCTGTGTATGTGTTATATGAAAGGAGGGAGAGGAATGATATAAGACAGACCATGGGACAAAAAAGGGAAGAAAAACAAAAGAAAAGAAAAGAAAAGAAAAAAAAACAAAAAACTATAGAGACAAGTTATAAAGGATGTGGTAGTGATGTCATAGACAAGGAAATTTGATAGAAAATTAGAGGTAATATTGATTTGATGCTTTGATTATGTGACTTTGATTTCAATTATCTTGCAAGACTTGTGGTCATTTGTTATTGCTTTACGGATTTGGT